CAGGCGCGTCGCAGCGTAACAGTGTTTCGTGAGATATCGCGAAGCCTGTTACGCGAGACGTGGTCTGGCGTACATCTACCTAGTTTTATTGTACTTATCTATACGCGTGCAGAATATTTGTAGGACTACTGCGGTAGTACACATGTACAATAAATCAATATTTTTTTGTACTTTTAACAATTATGACTTTTCAGAAACGTTCCATAAATGTATTAACTTGTTGCGAGAATTCACAACATTTCTTAATTTTCAAAACTATTATGAATTTTCATATCATGATTGTAACTTTTTACAAAACCAGTTATGAAATCACGCATGTTAATAAAATTAAAAACAAAAGTGATATGAATTTTAATAACATTTTTAACGGTGTATACAAAGTAATTTACAGGTCACATTATTTGATAATGTTCTTCATTAAATCGCGTGATCGAAATGGTCGGGCGGCAGGCCCAACCATCGCCTCCGGCAGGCCAAGCAGGCCCGGCCCCTGCCAAACGGAGTTGCCTGCGCAGCGAAGCAGAGATGGCGACTCCATTTGGTGGAAGGGCGGGCCTCTTGTCATTCTACTACTACTGCGGCAAACCAGCAGCCCTCTGAGCACCTACCTATCGCCACTGGGAAGGCGAACAATGCGGTCGAGCCAATGACCACCACGGTGATGTAGAGCGGTCGCGTCTGCATCATATACCGGGGTGCCTTGACGCAGAACCAGGGTTCGTCGCGGATGACGGCTACGAACATGAAGAAGATGCCGACACCGGATACCATCCAGTACGCGCGCACTAAGAAACGCAGTATGGTGACGCTCCGCCTATTGCAGCGCTCGTTGAGCGCCTCGGCTTGCGCGGCCACAGAGCGCTCCATCGGCGTGAAGGCGTCCAGGATCTCGCGTACGGCCATGATCTGTGGGGGCACGTCAGGGAAGCTACGGTTAGCGAGAGTACAACACTAAGTAAGTATCACCAGGGTTCGTTACTCGGGGCTATGCACTCATCATGAGTAAGTAAGCAGTCGGTGGTTCAGTGGCAAAATGTACACGGCTTATTGGACATTGACCCACACTACAGGGAAGCAAAAATCACACTTGGAATAGTAAATATCACATATTATTAGCGCCATCTCTTCCTTGAACTTCGTCTGGATGATTTT